AAAAATCACGAAGGATTTAATTAATGTATTTTACTGTACAATTAAAATTTGCTATAGCAGAGCAGAGGCATCACGCATTAGGTAGGACATGCACTCTTCAGTCCTCCACCCTTCCCACCACTCTTTGTCACTCCAAGTAGCTTCATCCATTATTTATCTGACCCTTGCAGAACATGTAACTCTGGGCCTACAGGCACACTTTTCAGGAGTTAACTTCTGGATGACAACAAGTCTCTTATTTACCAGCAATTATTTATCTCATCTTACTTGTGGCCTTCAAGACCTGGAACATGAGAATCTGAAAAAAAAAAAAAAAAAGGAGATACTCCTAGCCCAAGATCTAACATTCCACATGCCTAAAACTTGTGGTTTTGGGCTTCTAAACTACCTACAAACTAGCTTCAGCTCCGAGGATACGTGAAGGCAGTCAGAGCACACAGGTGGGCATGGTGATGAGAAGTCACTTCCACAATTTGTACTACTTGTGTGATGGGGGAGACTTCCTTTTCTTGTGTCTGGCCTGCATTTTTTGGTCCCTACTTTCCACTTAAGCCTGCTATTCTCTAGCTTCCTGACAGCTTGACTGCTATTTTTATTATTTATGGTTCTTTAAAAGGATAGGAAATTCTCTACTTGGGACTTACAAGAGTTTCACAATAACAGAGATCTTGAAAAGCACTAAAACTGGGAATCCAAAGCCAATAACTTCCTTCAGGATTTCAAAAGCCACCATTTATGGAGCTTCAATTATGAAATAGGAACCCTTAAACATGCTGTTGACTGCACGTTATATTTAAAGAGTGCCTAAGAACATATTGTCAGTTATAAAGATGTATTGAGTCGTCAAAAAAAGTCCTAACATGTTTTTCTATGTAAAAATGCATCACATTTTTTCTAACCCAAGTGTAAATAAAAAGTGAAAAAGAGGAATCTATAGTAAATAGCATTTTTGAGTGCTTCATTCTGTTCCATACATGGATATACTGTACGCCAATATGACATTTAAAAAAAAATCTTACAACTTTTATCCCTTAAGAGTACTGAGACGTGTACATTTCTTACTTTAATAGTAATTTTTTTAAATCTTTCAAAAAGCTGCCTGTTATTATCACTTCCTGGTTTTAAGTTATTTTTCTCATAATTGTAAAACCTCTTTGTATATTTAGACACTACACTTTTGCATCACAATTTTTTACAAAGATATTTCCACTTTTTGTGCTTTTTTTTTTTTTTTTTTTTGCCCTTTTTTGGCATCTATTTAGAACAAAAACACAGGGATTATTTAATTTTTATGTCTACTTACCAGTATTTTCTTTACAGTTGGATTCTAACTTTCACCCGATGCTTATAAAGGTTTTCTCTATTAGGCCCAGCTAAGGTGATGCAAGCTGTGGGGCACTACTGTGCAATGCTGAGGCCACATGGAAAGGCCTAGGGTCTGGTCCTGAGTCAACCTAAACAATCTGGATTCATCCTGAGACATGCAGATTCTAGCTGGCTGGGAGGCTAGGAGCCCCCCTCTCCTATCAGGGCCCCCGCCCAACCCTGATGAGGGTATGCCTCCTCAATATATAAACTTCTAAGAAGTTCTCTATACCATGAGAATTCTTTTTTAAAGAAAATCTTTATTGTTTTTCCTCTTTACAAAACTAATGCATGCTTGTCAAAAATTAAACAAATAAATTAATTTAGGTAGAGTGAATATCTTTATAATACGGAGTTTTACTATCCAAAAACAAAGTTTCTTTCCCTCCCATCCCTCAAGTTCCTTTGATGGCCCTCAGTTGAGACTTTAGTTTTCTCCATATAGATTCTGTAGTCACTGTCTAAAAAATTTATTATCTTTTTTTAAGAGGTTTTTGCTATAGGGCGCGTACATTCACCTGACAGAGAGAGACAGAGACAGAGACACAGAAAGCAGAAATCACCCCCCAGGGGGGATGGCCACACTGCAATCCCTTCTCCTCCATTCTCCTCTCAGGATCTTGGGCAAACACGCACACATACCCGGTATGAGTTTAAGCCAACGGGTCCGGGACACGAACTGCGGTCAACTACATGGGAGTCCAGAGACATAGCCATTACGCTAACTGCTGGTCCCAAAAATTTACTTTTTTGGAGCCTGCTGGGAATGGGATATTATACCTCTTTATACTTTTAGTTGGTTGGTTGTATAAAATAAAAAGCTAATTATTTTTGGATATTACATTATAGTCACCCATTCATTCCTGATTGAAAATTGAGTAAAACAAAAAGGTTTATTTCCATGTGAAGACTCCAAAGTCCCGGACCCAGCAGCTTGAAAAATCACACTAGGCACATGTGTATGCATGCCCCAAACCCTGAGAGAATAGAGAAGAGATTGTGGCATGGCCATTCCCCCCCCACACACCCTACCCCTTGGAGATTTCTCAGCTCCCTTCCCTTTACTCCCATCTTCTTTCTGGAGAATATACATGTCCTATAGCAAAACAACAACAAAAAAAGAACAAAGAAAAGAAGAAAGAAAGGCAAAGAAAAAAAAAACATCCAATTTCTTGAAAACTCATCTTGGGGCCAGCAGATGGCACAGCCTTTATGTCATTGGACTCCTACATGGCCGACCATGGTTCAAGTCCCAGACCCAGTGGCTTTAAACTCATGCCTAGCACATGTGCATGCATGCCCAAGATCCCTCCCCTCTCACCATCTGTTTCTCTCTCAGGCAAGCACGTGTGCCCTACTGAAGGTAAAAAAAAACCCTCAAAAAAAAAAAAAAAGAAGAAGAAATTCATCCTATTTGGCATCACAGGCCTTGCTTTCCTGCCCAATTAAAATTTGCTATAGCAGAGCAGAGGCATCACGCATTAGGTAGGACATGCACTCTTCAGTCCTCCACCCTTCCCACCACTCTTTGTCACTCCAAGTAGCTTCATCCATTATTTATCTGACCCTTGCAGAACATGTAACTCTGGGCCTACAGGCACACTTTTCAGGAGTTAACTTCTGGATGACAACAAGTCTCTTATTTACCAGCAATTATTTATCTCATCTTACTTGTGGCCTTCAAGACCTGGAACATGAGAATCTGAAAAAAAAAAAAAAAAAGGAGATACTCCTAGCCCAAGATCTAACATTCCACATGCCTAAAACTTGTGGTTTTGGGCTTCTAAACTACCTACAAACTAGCTTCAGCTCCGAGGATACGTGAAGGCAGTCAGAGCACACAGGTGGGCATGGTGATGAGAAGTCACTTCCACAATTTGTACTACTTGTGTGATGGGGGAGACTTCCTTTTCTTGTGTCTGGCCTGCATTTTTTGGTCCCTACTTTCCACTTAAGCCTGCTATTCTCTAGCTTCCTGACAGCTTGACTGCTATTTTTATTATTTATGGTTCTTTAAAAGGATAGGAAATTCTCTACTTGGGACTTACAAGAGTTTCACAATAACAGAGATCTTGAAAAGCACTAAAACTGGGAATCCAAAGCCAATAACTTCCTTCAGGATTTCAAAAGCCACCATTTATGGAGCTTCAATTATGAAATAGGAACCCTTAAACATGCTGTTGACTGCACGTTATATTTAAAGAGTGCCTAAGAACATATTGTCAGTTATAAAGATGTATTGAGTCGTCAAAAAAAGTCCTAACATGTTTTTCTATGTAAAAATGCATCACATTTTTTCTAACCCAAGTGTAAATAAAAAGTGAAAAAGAGGAATCTATAGTAAATAGCATTTTTGAGTGCTTCATTCTGTTCCATACATGGATATACTGTACGCCAATATGACATTTAAAAAAAAATCTTACAACTTTTATCCCTTAAGAGTACTGAGACGTGTACATTTCTTACTTTAATAGTAATTTTTTTAAATCTTTCAAAAAGCTGCCTGTTATTATCACTTCCTGGTTTTAAGTTATTTTTCTCATAATTGTAAAACCTCTTTGTATATTTAGACACTACACTTTTGCATCACAATTTTTTACAAAGATATTTCCACTTTTTGTGCTTTTTTTTTTTTTTTTTTTGCCCTTTTTTGGCATCTATTTAGAACAAAAACACAGGGATTATTTAATTTTTATGTCTACTTACCAGTATTTTCTTTACAGTTGGATTCTAACTTTCACCCGATGCTTATAAAGGTTTTCTCTATTAGGCCCAGCTAAGGTGATGCAAGCTGTGGGGCACTACTGTGCAATGCTGAGGCCACATGGAAAGGCCTAGGGTCTGGTCCTGAGTCAACCTAAACAATCTGGATTCATCCTGAGACATGCAGATTCTAGCTGGCTGGGAGGCTAGGAGCCCCCCTCTCCTATCAGGGCCCCCGCCCAACCCTGATGAGGGTATGCCTCCTCAATATATAAACTTCTAAGAAGTTCTCTATACCATGAGAATTCTTTTTTAAAGAAAATCTTTATTGTTTTTCCTCTTTACAAAACTAATGCATGCTTGTCAAAAATTAAACAAATAAATTAATTTAGGTAGAGTGAATATCTTTATAATACGGAGTTTTACTATCCAAAAACAAAGTTTCTTTCCCTCCCATCCCTCAAGTTCCTTTGATGGCCCTCAGTTGAGACTTTAGTTTTCTCCATATAGATTCTGTAGTCACTGTCTAAAAAATTTATTATCTTTTTTTAAGAGGTTTTTGCTATAGGGCGCGTACATTCACCTGACAGAGAGAGACAGAGACAGAGACACAGAAAGCAGAAATCACCCCCCAGGGGGGATGGCCACACTGCAATCCCTTCTCCTCCATTCTCCTCTCAGGATCTTGGGCAAACACGCACACATACCCGGTATGAGTTTAAGCCAACGGGTCCGGGACACGAACTGCGGTCAACTACATGGGAGTCCAGAGACATAGCCATTACGCTAACTGCTGGTCCCAAAAATTTACTTTTTTGGAGCCTGCTGGGAATGGGATATTATACCTCTTTATACTTTTAGTTGGTTGGTTGTATAAAATAAAAAGCTAATTATTTTTGGATATTACATTATAGTCACCCATTCATTCCTGATTGAAAATTGAGTAAAACAAAAAGGTTTATTTCCATGTGAAGACTCCACCATATTAATTACCCTCTTGTTTCCAACAAGGCAAATTTGATGAAACTTGATCCATTTTGACATTAATCTTGAGTTTTCTAAATTCTTTTCACTATTAGGATTTTACTTCACTGTGGACACTCTGATGCTGACTAAGTTGAAAATTAAACCTGAAGGCTCTCCCACACACATTACACACATAGGATTTCTTCCAAGTGTGGACAGTCTGGTGTATAATACAGTCTGAACTATAGCTAAAGCCTTTGCCACATTCCACACACCTAAAGGGTTTCTCCCCAGTGTGACTTTTCTGATGTCGAATTAAGTGGGCATTAACATGGAAGGCCTTTCCACATTCCTTACACTGAAAGGGTTTCTCTCCAGTATGGATTCTCTGGTGCACAATGTAGTCAGAACTACAGCTAAATGCTTTTTCACATTCCATACACTTGAAAGGTTTCTCCCCTGTGTGTATTCTCTGATGTCGAATGAATTTGGCATTGATGCTGAAGGCTTTCCCACATTCCTTACACTGATAAGGCTTTTCTCCAGTATGGATTCGGTGGTGATCAAGTAAGTTTCTTTTGGAAGTAAAGCATTTCCCACACTCTGTACATTCAAAGGGTTTCTCCCCAGTGTGAACTCTTTGATGCTGTATTAGTTTTGCATTAACATTGAAGGCCTTTCCACATTCACTACACTTGTAGGGCTTCTCCCCAGTGTGGATTCTCAGATGCTGCCGAAGCTGGGAGTTACACCTGAAGGCTTTACCACATTCATTACACTCATAAGGCTTCTCACCTGTGTGGATTCTCTGGTGCTGGATTAACTTCCCCTTCACGCTAAAGGCTTTTCTACATTCACTGCACTCAAAGGGTTTTTCACCTGTGTGGATTCTTCCATGTTGAATGAGTTTAGCATTATTACTGAAGGCTTTCCCACATTCCTTACACTGAAAGGGCTTCTCTCCATTGTGAATGCTCTGATGCTGCCGAAGCTGGGAGCTGCACCTGAAGCCTTTCCCACATTCAGTACATTCACAAGGCTTCTCTCCAGTGTGGATTCTCTGATGCTGAATTAATTTTGCATTCACATTGAAAGCCTTCCCACAGTCATTACATTCATAAGGTTTCTCCCCAGTGTGGACTCTTTGATGAGTAATATATGCAGAACTGCAGCTGAAACCATTTCCACACTCCTTGCACTGATAGGGCTTCTCTCCTGTGTGGACTCTCTGATGCCTGCTTAGACTTCCATTGACACTGAAGGCTTTCCCACACACCTGACACTGATAGGGCTTCTCCCCACTGTGGATTGTCTGATGTGTGATGTAATGGGAACTGTAGCTGAAGCTTTTCCCACACTCCACACATCTGAAGGGTTTCTGCCCACCGTGAAGTTTTTGATGCCAAATTAATTTTGCATTAATGCTGAAGGCTTTGCCACACTCTGTACACTGATACAAATTCTCCCTA